ATTCGTACAATAATTCATACCTGATCTCCATGAATTAAACTTTAAAATTTCAAAAGGCATATGGAGGCCATGAGAACCCAATGCCTGCAATTTCTTAATCAACTTCTATTATAATAATAATAATAATTATTATTATTATTATTATTAAAATTAAACTTGTTATAATATGCTTCAAAGTATAGGAAATACCATAATGATTTTCTGCTACACTGTACTTAAACACAATAATATACGTTTAATATTATAGAAGTATATCACCCAAAATAATTTCTTTAATTTCTTTATAGTATGATTTTAAAGTCTCAAACATTGCTAGTGTAAAATACATGTCAAGTGTTTTACAGAGTTTTTGTGCCAAATATAAATGCCATAAAAGAAATAAATAAAAAAGAGTCGTAAAAATTTAGGTTACGATCACAAAATTACATTAAAAAGAAAAGTCGTTACCAATGTTATTTAAGAAAATAAAAAAAAAAACCTTTAAAAAATAGTCTTTTAAAACAAAATTTGAGTTCAAAAATTAATTACACATAAATTTTTTTTTGACATACTACAACATTCATCTTAAAATGGTTGTCTCTAATTAATTAAGTAAATTATTTATAAAATTTTAAAAATATTTACCTTGGCCTAAACTTATTAAAAATTAATTATAAAAAATATTTATATTATTTATCTAATATGTTCGTTTATTTTATTTTGACAAAGATTGGATTTTGTAATTATTATTATTAATTATTATGAAAAAGATTATCAGTATTATTTAATTATTTTTTTAGCATAATAAGAGTGATTTTTTATCATTAATTATTTGTTAAATTAAGGTTTTTAAACTGTCACAACTCATTTGTTTTAAAATATAAAATTGATAAAGATATACATCAAAGTCAATCCATTGAAACATTTACAAAATTAACCTCAAGAGACAACTTGTTATGGACATCTCAAATACTTCTTTTAAAGGACGTTTTTATCTACATGAAGACTCATGCTTCTCCAATGGAAGCCTCGGAGACAAAAAAAAAAATTATAAGTTTAATGTTTTTCAATATATACCCTTAAAAAATTATTTATATGTCTAGTGTTCGTCCAATGTTTAGATTTTTTTATTTAGTTTTTTGACATATATATTTTCAAACAAAATTAGGGTATTAATAATAATAAACAATTATTTATTTTTTTTACTCATTTGTTGTGTGACACAAGGTGTAATAATTTTAAAAACATTCTAAAGTTATGTTTGTTATAGCTCTTTATTAATTTAAAATTATTTTAAAGTTAAAATTTAAAATAAGTTTTAGAAACAAAGAATAAGTTGTTTAATAATTTATTGGGACTTCTTATGTGCACTTGTACATCAACAATATCTCTACAAGTGTGAGTCTTGTTTATGTTGGTATATTTTCTTTTAAGCATGAGTTTTTTTTTTTCATCCATAAGTATTAAACAACCATTGCTATCAATAAACTTTAGATTTTGCACCACTTTTAAGCCCCTAGAACATAATCATTAGGCATTATTACCAATATGTTCTAGATATTTGTATTATTTTTTGCACGACCCATTAAAGTTTTAGAATTTATTCATTATTGTCAATTTAGACTTTTATTCATTATTTATATTATTGTCTCACTTTTATACTTTCAAGAAAACTTTCGACACAATATCCTTGTATGAATCTATTGTCTAAAATTTATCTATGTCGATTATCTAAACAAATCATCTAATACTCGTATTAATTAGTCACTTTATTAAACAAATCAATTTTGATATCAATTGTTGGGAATACAAATAGAGTTAACAATAGAGATATTTCCATCAAATAAATCATGCAAATGAATTTAACATTAAAAAAAACTAATTATTGAAAAAGAAAAAAGAAACTTAATAAAAACGTATCCTAGAAGGTAACGTTAGCTTGTTTCCCTCTCCAACATTTTTTTTTTGGTATTAACTCCAACTTCTTTCTCTAATATGCATGTGCAACAACAAATAAAACAAAGAAGATAATTACAATCTATAATCGTCATCTTGTCGCCATTTTGTATATATTTGTCTTTACGGAAATTAAATCCGAAGCCTAATTTTGAGTGCCTAAAAAGGTCATCATGGCATCATGACTCGATTGGATAGAGGATGTTGTTCATGAATGAAAAGGCTAGTCTACATATTGGTGCAAGTGGAAGCTGTGTTAGCTCAGTGCAACCTAATCGTCTTAATTAATAAATTGTTCTATATATAATTGCACTAATTCATTTTAAAAATGGGTTCAAGGGCAAGACTTGCATACAATTATAAATGATAAAGAAGTTCTTCTTCCTCCGGATAAGACTACGTGTGAATATGATTTGTGGATATAAAACTAGAATATTAAAAAGATATATATCAAAGGCATTCAAAAGAACCAAACCCTATTTATATATTAATTGATACAGTTTTGGGACATAATATTACTGGAATATTAATTCACGATAGTGTTCTAGAAGCTCAAGCTTTGCTGTCTACATTTTAATGAAATTAAATTTCACTTTAAGTGAATCTACGCGAAAGACTCCGTAATTAAATCTTTGACATTGAACGAATATTTATTTTGAAGCACAAAAATAATGTTGATGGGGGACAACTGAATGTATTCTTTAGTTATCACAACATGCAAACATAATGATTATTAGTTTAGAATTAATTATTTGGGGTCATAGGCCTTTTGTTCTGAATTTGAGCAACTCCTGGAGTCTTTCCATTTTGTTTCAACTATTGAAGATTAAGCACGAACACAAACAGAAAGTGTTACTCTTTGGTAGTAATTGACTTCACCATATGTAGAAACTAGAAAGCTCATGGCTAGTCAATTCAACGTTGTTTGCGGGTTGGGAGATTTGAAAAGCACAACACATGGTCCCTAAAATTATTTACACGAATTAATGCTCCATCCCATAGATTTAGAAGTCCCATTGTCTCACTGTTTGGTTTTGAATTTTGATAGTACATAATAACATGTTACATGAACTTTGCTACGCTTCTTGTTTTCTGACCAAGGACACAGCACTAAGGCCATAGTAGGGCACAACCACCAACAAACACGTAAGTGGTCTATAATGGCTGAGGTATTCCGGAGGAAGAAAATATTAATAAACATAGTCACGTTAACATAATACGCACTAATTTACCTAACAAGAATACCTCTTAAATTAGATAAACTCATAAAAATAGTCACATTAACTCAATACGCATTTACGTAACTAAAGTACCTTCCCATATATATGAAGGGAAAAGGATTGATACTTGTCATGTATCATTAATCCAAACAGAACTGCGAAACAAATGGGAGATGCTTATTCTTTGTAGATGAGAAAGAACGTGGACAACAACTTGCGTAATTAAATTGTTATCTTTTGATTTTTGTAATCTAAATTAGTCCATGTCACATACACACCGTTGCTTACACAAACTAAGTTAACATGCAAGCCAACAAATTGAGTGCCACTCCCTAATCTTATAGAATTGCATCCTCATCCTATCCATTATCCACTCAGGATTGCTTTTGTTCTTGGCACAATAAAGCAACTTGAGGTCTAATCTTGTGGCCCTTTTCTACTGTTATGCTTGAAAATTCCATCACTCTTTTTGGCCCAAATGATCTTATTTGTCAAAATATAAAATAACGTATATGAGCAATAATCCTTACTTTGTGGAGTAAAAACTACTTGCTTTGGAGAGTGTGACTAAATATGAAAACTTGGATTAAAAATGTCACTATATATATGGCAGTTTGTCAACGACCTTTGTTAATACGCTGGTAGTTGATCAATTTATATATCAGTCACATATAACTTAACCTATGCATTTTGCTAACTACTATGAGACAAATTTCCTTTAAAGTTCAAAAGCAATTATAGCTTCTAAAATTATATAAAGATCTAAGTTGTTGAGATTTGATATAGTTGCTGTTTATGATCAACAAAAGACCAAGGGCAGTCATGATAGAAAAAACACCCACAATTTTATTGCACGGTTAGAAGGAATCATGAAAGGTTTCCAAGGTTATTTATGCTGCAGAGTGCAGATAACACAGTGGTGAAGTCAAAGAATTGAACTTAAAGAGTAAAAGAAAAATTAAGACGCTTTCAAGTAGATATTCCGAATATCTAAATAGTCAAAACATGCTAAATATATTAGGTTGTGGTGGTTACAAGTTCCTCAGTAAGTGTTGACTAGAAATAAGTCCTAGCCTCCAATTATTAAATTCATATATACTTTACTACTACACAAAAAGTTAAACAGTTTCTAAATGCATTGGTTCATTGTTTCAGGTCTTGGTATTCTGGAGCCATAACAACAATCAGAACTAAAATTAAAACGGGTAATACTATTCATACAAGGGAGGATAATAAGAAGAAAAGAGAGAAAAATTAGTGATAAAATGAGTTAAGTCAAAAACAGAGATAAAGAAGAAGAAAAATGATGTGTGAACTTGTAGAAGTTTATTGTAAGAATAATATTACTCATTGATGCGTCATTGTGAAGGTATATATCCTTTCACAATACCCGTCGCATCCCCGAAACAGGAGTTCGGGACGTTTTTCACTTAATCATATACTTGTCCAAGTGTTGTATGATCACATTTAAAGCTTTTGATAAGGTAAACCATTCATGTCTAAAGCTACCTCTGCCATCTTTGTCACATTTTCAAAGGTCACCAAATAAATGTCCCAAAAGTAACCGTTAAGGTGTCTTTCGTACACCCTTCATGTTTTCCTCTCCTTCCCAAATGACGAAACATAACCAACATTTAATTACCTGAAAAGGAAGTTCCTTATCAAGAAGAAATAAAAATAAAAAAAGCACACACCTCATCAGATTGAAGTATTTGCCCCTCTTGTTTATCATCACAAACCTGATCATGATGATAAACTTTAGTCCCCCGTGTACAACTCCTTATTCAACCAAGTTATCGCCGTTTTTGGCACTGTGGGGCCACCAAATCCCTCTATATAATAGCAGTGTACTCATACTCTGCATGAACATATCAAGTCAACAACTATCCCTCTGATCATAGCAGAGTCACTCTGGTTACTACAATGCCATCTTTACCTTCCTCTTTCTTCAAAATGGTTCCTCTCTTCTCTCTTCTTTTATTCTCACTCATGATTCGTTGTAGTACTTCTCTGGGTCCACCTTCACCTGGGTACTACCCTAGTTCCAAAATCAGCCCTGTTAGCTTTAACGAGGGATTTAGAAACCTTTGGGGACCTCAGCATCAAAGACTAGACCAAGACACATTAACAATCTGGCTTGACAAAACCTCAGGTATGTAAAATCACTCACATAAATAGTTAAATACTTAAATACAACTGCATATGCCACGGACACGAGAGTCCACCAAGTAATCCCAAAGTCACACGTAAACACAGATTAATCTTTTATAGTTTTGAAATACTGCATGTAACATATACATGTGACAAAAAAAAATACAACTACATATGCTTCTTTATTACTAGTTAGTGGTTACTACCTTATTGCATGTTTTTATTTGCACTTCTTTGAAACATAGGGAGTGGATTCAAGTCACTTCGCTCTTACCGATCTGGATACTTTGGTGCTGCTATTAAGCTTCAACCTGGTTATACTGCCGGAGTCATAACATGTTTATACGTGAGGATTAATCTATAACTTCAGCTATAGTTGGAAATTGAGCTTATCTTTTACTATATACAGTTTTTCACCCTTCTTCTTTGTTCTTTCATTTGGGAATTGTAGCTTTCAAACAACCAAGACTTCCCGGGATACCATGATGAAATAGACATTGAGTTCCTTGGTACCACGCCAGATAAGCCATATGTCTTGCAGACAAATGTATACATGAGAGGAAGTGGAGATGGGAATATTATAGGGAGAGAGATGAGGTTTCACCTTTGGTTCGACCCAACACAAGATTTTCACAACTACGCTATTCTGTGGGAACCCAGTGAGATCATGTAATATTATTTTCATGCACTTTCATGATCCTCATAAACTGTCCAATAAAATCTAACTTAAAACCCTTATTATAATTTTTTTATCTAGCCCAATTAGGCAATTAATTAATTACTAAGGCTTGGTTAAAATATTTCATTGAAAAGACTATTTTATTTATATACAATAATGGAATGTGGTCCCCTTTATAATATATACCTATTAACCCTTTGTAATGTTTGACAAAGTGAGAAAAACTGTGCATGTAGTTTCTTTTTTGTCACTCAATCATTCATGGCCTATTATGAGATGACAATGTGTTTTTCATGGGGGTAGGTTGATTATGAAAAAATCTTGCAGTATCTGGATTTTGCATGTTGCTTATGCTTACTAGTTTTATTAGTTTAATTAATTATCTTACACTGGAAACAACATATTCAGATTTTTAGTGGATGATGTCCCAATAAGGAGGTATCCTAGAAAGAGTGATGCCACGTACCCCACGAGACAAATGTATGTGTATGGATCAATATGGGATGCATCTGACTGGGCTACAGAGGGTGGAAAATACAAAGCTGACTATAAATACCAACCCTTCATTGGTAGATACAGAAACTTCAAAATACAAGGTTGTGCCCTTGAAGCCCCCACCTCATGCAAGCCACCGTCTCCCTCACCATATGGCTATGGAAGCTTAAGCCCTCAGCAATATGCTGCAATGCAATGGGTCCAAAACAACTACATGGTCTATGACTATTGCCATGATCCTAGGAGAGACCATACACTTACTCCAGAATGCTAAAGTTCAAGTGGTTTGGTTCAAGTTGGTTTGTTTCAAATTAAGTTATTTTTTACTTTTCACCTGTTAATGTCACCATAACAGTTTGTTTATTTATGGGGTGGTTTTTGTGATGGTCCCACTTGCTAAGGCTAAGTGTAATTGCAACAACAGTGAGCGTCCAAGCCCCCCCTTAAAAAAGATGGGTATGTTTTCGTTGTTTATTATGTGATTGTGTAGTACCCCACAAAAGATTGGGATGTTTTTGTTGTTTATGTAACTGTGATATGATTTACTATTATTTTAGTCCTTTTCCTATTGAAATAAATCCATTTGGATGGTTTCCTAATTTGTGTTTAGGTGCAAGAAATGAGAAAACGGGCCTTTGTCCCTCTGAAAGTAAGCCGTTGGAAAGAACCTTCTTATGGACTTTTGTTCCTGAATTGGACAACTGAAATAATTATTCTGTAATTCCATGAAAATAAATAACTAATGTTCTCTTCTGCTATTGTCGGTAGAATGCCCGTGCCAGGGATTCTTGACTCTTGTGCTTTGTTTGAACGCGGAAAAAAATAGAAAAAAGAAAATAATTAGGATACAAAGAAATCGGAGAGCAGAGAAAACAAAAATAATGTAGGTAGAATTTTTAATTTTAGTTGTTTGGATCAAGAAGTATGAGAGAAAAAATAATGGAAAAAAATGTTATATACTATAAATACTTTTGTCCATATATCGAAAATATAGTTCTTTTGTTCAATTATTTTAAAGTTAAAATATGTATGTATAGGTAGAAAAAAGATAAAATATGTATTTCGTGTTATGGGATTTGCTAAAAAAAAAAAAAAAAAAACTCATTTCACTTTTCTTTAAAGGAGATAATCAATGGCAAGTTTGGCGTTTTCTTCTTCCTTTCTAAACTCTGGCCTGACAAAAACGATAATAACTAATAAGTTACATCCTTATATAAATATAGATAAAACGACAGAAGCATACTTTTATACAAACATATTATCTTATTAATTTGTTCGGTAAAATTGTTTTAAAATAACCAATTTAGTAAATCTCAACTTATTCAATTATTTTTTTATCGATTATTTTGTGTTCAATGAACCATTAAAAAGAATATGATAAAAGAGTGTGTTCCTAATAATCTGTCTGTTTTTCTAATTCTAGAACACTGGGGGACAAGTTGTAGGTCATGTCCACGAATTTGGCCTACCGGTTCTTTGCGCTAAACGGATAAACTAAAAAATAATAATAATAATAATAATAAATAAAATGACACTTAAGAGAAATGATAAACGATTATTTGATAAATAAATAAAAATACTCATGCATAAATATAAATACTTATCTGACTTTATTCAACGGTGATTGATATTCGAATTCTGATTTTTAAAAATACAAAATTAAAAAAAAAACTTACTTATTTAATATCTATCAAATTCTTAGAAAAGATTAGTCTCACATTCAACGGAATTAGTCTTTAGTAATAATAAAAAAATATATTGACTATACTGACTTGCCCAATATCATGAAGATAATTTAATAATGTGGACAGAATTTTCCAACAATAAGGCAAAATCAGAGTAATTTTAGCAATTTATATACACACTTCTGATAATTAAGAATTTAAAATCATGATGATCCCCTCTCTCGGCTAATAAAATTTAGTTACCACCGTATTTTTTTAACTGTTCAGAAATAAGATGGTTAAATGATAACGCACAGCTTGCGATGCTTAATACCGAAAAGAAAAACAATAAAATTGCCTTGAAGTAATTTATTTATTTGTATTCATACAACAGATGACACCTTATGATTATAGAGTAAAGAGTTAATAATTATATCATAAAGAGTTAATTACATATTAAAAATATTAAGAATTTTAAAATCAAATACCATCATCCCTTTAATAGTTGAAGTTTGATATTGTCTAATTTGACTCGAAAGTTTATTTACTAGTAGAGAGTATGACACTTTTTATCCCTTATAAATAATTATCACATAACATAATAATAAATTGAAACATACTTCATTTAATAAAAAAAAACTAAATGTTAATGTAGTAATAACCGAAAAATAATTCTAACTAAGCTCTAATGCCACATCTTAAAAGAACATTTCCATCCACAACTTAAACTCTTTCAAAATTTGAAATCCTCAACATAAACAACCCAAAAACAAGGCACAAAAAAAAAGAAGCAAAAACATATTTCACTTTAACTATCGATGTAAATAATAAAGATATCATTATCATACATATAAACCCTAAACTCTAAACACACATACTAATTATAAAGATATAATTATCATACATATAATTAATAGCAATGTTTAATTCACAATAATGTAGAAATTGAAGCTATAACCACTCATTCACAAAATCCCATTCCATCATACATTAAATTCACAATTCAAGATACAAGGTATGTTATGTTCATGCTAGAACAAGATTCTCCTATCTATATGCTTATGGTGCTAGTAAAACACATTTATTTCTAACGAAGACTCAATAGCACAAGAGTTTGTGTCGGATCAATTCATTACAACACTTTACACTAAGAGGATATATAACTATAGAGTCTTGTCAAGATAATTGTGTCTTGCAAATTATGTCGCAAGCACACAATGGACAAGATTGGGGTTTTTCAAACCTAATTATTCCTGATGACTGATCCTCAATCTCAACAGCGTATTTCATATCGTACCATCACAAAACATGTTATGCACATAATGCATGTCATACAAACGTTATAGATGATCACATAACTCACATTCACATTTACACATTTCACAAGTCGCATCCTTACTAAGTTATACTTAAATTTATTTACACAATAACTTCCACATATATATTTCATGAATTCATATTTTACAATTTTCTTCACATCTAAGTTTTACTTAAGCTTTTCAATCACTTATCACAATTCACATGTTCTCCAATATCATAGGTGCACAACAATATCACATATTTTTTAAAACTCCAATTCCATCAACAACAAATCAAGTTTCAAATTTGTTAATTAAATAAAATTAAATCACAAAAATTGAATAATTCATAATAATACCCATAGATCTCTCTCTAAGGTATGTAATAAATCAAGCATGTGTTGAAAATAATCAAATAATGCTCTAAAGATAATTAATCCAATCAAATTTCATAATTTTGCATATATCAAATTACATGAAGAAAAATTATTAAACATAATAAATCAACTTTAAAACATTCAAGATACTTTAAATAGAATATATTGCATCATATAAATTCATATACCTAAAATTCAACTCTTAAGTATTATCTTTGAATTAAATATCTCTGTAGAACTATCTTTGTAAAATATAAATTGCTATTTTTTTTAAAATAGTAAATCTTCTTTAAATTTTGAGATATTTCACAAAGGTCATAGCCAACATCATTATGTACACATAATTTTTTCACGATTAATGATGAACTACAAATACTATTTTTATAATTATTTTATCACCATTGGTAGAAAAGAGAACGTACACCATAAATTCATAAATTAATATCACTTTATAATATTCTAAGAAACTTTTAGGATATTTCTCATATGTCTTCATCCATCATATATATTTCTTAGCATTTATGTCACACATAAGCTATTTTTCATCCAATCAAAGCTTAATAGGACATATTTATGAAATTTTAATAAAAAATCTAAAATTAAATACTTTTAGAGCTTATAAATTCATAAGAAAATTCAAAGACATCATCAATGGTATATAAAAGGTTTATATTGCACCAATTTTTACTAATATAATATTTAAGTAGTTTAATTAAATAAAAATAGCACTAGATAGATTTAAAAAAAACAAATAAATATACACATTAAAAATAGTAAATATGTTCAAGAAATTCCTAAACTTTTTCCAAAGATTTTATAGAGGCATGATTACACATGAGTTTGGTCTCACTTCACCAAAAAGAAGACAAAAATTTTAAAAAAAAAATTACAATAATAATACAATGAGAATAATTTTTTGACCACTCAAAACATGCAAGAGATAAAAAAGAACTCCTCTATACAAGACTCGAGTTAAATCCATCTTATACACATACACATTCAACCTAGAGATTTGGGATCAATCCTACTATTCAACAATTAATCCACGCTCCAAAACAATATTCTCACTCCTCCCTTACCTTAATAATTGCTAAAATCTTAAGTCGAATTATTAAATTTTTCTCCGGTCATCAATGATTCTCCCCTTTCTTTTGATCACAAACCTAATTATAAACATATTTAAATAAAAAATCTTAACCCTTACTCCCACATAACTCATAAACAAAAGCTTAATATAATTATCCTCTCTATTTTTAAAAGATAATAACTCAATTATTAAAAGATTTTTTTTATAACAACTCTCATTTTTTAAATTACTCTCAGTTAATTAATTAAAATCCTTATTATTTTATTTACGTAAAAAAGTGAAATGTTACATACACTCACCAAAGAAATTTTACATTTGATCTCTAAGAGATCTCATGAATAAGTATGTCTACCAATAAAATTTTAATAATCATAAAAAATGTTGAACTCGTATATGAAGAACGCAAACAAATTTTTGAAGCAATTATAAACTGTGTGCTTTGAGTTAATATAAAAAAATAAACTATGCTCTTTAAGTGGAACAAGAGATAAGACAAGATATGACCTAGCCCAAAAGATGCCTCATTGGGGTCATGTGTGTTCTATTTCTATATATATATTTACTTTAAATCATGCATGGTTTACAACAATTAGCCCCTGATAAAAGCTATCAAATCATGTGAACTCGCTTAATGCATCTTAGCATCTCTTGCACAGTCTCTTTGAATTTCTATTCGATCTTGTGAGTGATTACAAACATTACTCTGTCGTACTATTCCTTGTCTAGTTGTGGCATTGTCAAATGTCACATGAATGAATTTAGGATTTCAATGAGAATCTAGGGGGAGAGCAATCTTGCAATCAACCTCCTCCTCCGCCGAGCTCCAACTTCTTTTTTTTTTTTTTTTAAATATAGATTCAAATCTAATTCAAATTTCAAACTACAAAATCAATTATAAAAATAAGGATTATCTTTCACGTTTTGTTTATCTTTTAGTCGATATGAAACTTTAGATTTTCTCAATATATTTTTTCATGTTTAATATTATTAGACTTAATACATGAATAAATAATTAATAATTTAAGATAAGTAGGACATTGATTTTTTTCTAATATATCCTCTATACCAATATTATTGGATTTTGTGTGAATATTAATGATAAGTGATCATTTTAGAATAGATTTTGATTTCTGATATCATCTTAAAATATAAATTAGAAATTAACTTAATTCTACAAAATTAACTTATAAGATATGAAAATTTTCATTTATATATTCTTTATTTGAAATATCTCTAATTGATGTAAAAGTTTGAATTTTTTCCAATAATTTTGAAGAATTGGTTTGTTTGTAATAAAGTTGTTGACAGTCCGATTGTTTTTAGCTTGTGTACATTCTTATTTGTCTTCTTCAAAGTTAAGTCGGGTTCTTTCTAACAGAAAATGAATAATAATTCAACCATACCTTTAATCTGTCCAGAAATTCAAGCTAGGGGGTTGGCATGTCTTCAATTTGTACGTTCCATTGTGAAACAAACCACCGATCAAATTTTGTGATTTAGCATAAAAAACAAAATCTATCCATTTATCTATAGTTTGTTTCAGGAGATGGAGTGTTCGGCATGTTAACTAGATGAAATTCGTCAAATAAAAAAAATTAAAGAGAAAATTGACTAAAGTGGATGAAGGGATAATATGTGATTATTTTATGAAAAAAGAATTGAAAGGAGAAACCCAGCAGCCGAAATTGGTCGTTTTATTAAAACAGTAAATGGGTGCCACAATGAATATGAGCGCGATTGATAAAGAAAACGATAAGTTGAAAAAATAGTTGCGATTAATTGTATATGGCTCTCACCTTTCTTCTTCAACTTTTAAGGCCATACATACTACCCCTTTTTTTAATCATAAACTTATCTACCAAGTCGGCAAGTTCATTTTCACTAAACTTCCCCCTCTCCTGAACATTCCCTTAAGAAACTTATGGGTTTACGTATATATTAGGAGTTTAAATTATTTGATTAAATGTGAATTAGTGAGCGTAAATTTTCTTTCACAGAGATGTAAGTTCATGTCTCTATTGTTCAATAATTTTAAGCACTAACTAAATCATTTCTAAATATAGCTATTTTTAAATTAATTCTACAATTATGATTTTACGTATGACATTAAAATCTTTATCTAAAATATGACAGTAAAAATAACCAAATATACTAAAGTGAAAAAATATAAATTAGATTGAAAAAATATTGATTATAATTACTTACTTCTAAGTTAAAATAAAATGAAACAATTAATTAAATTAATTTAAGTTTGTTTGATTTCAATTCATTAGCTTTATTTGGGCCAATATAATCTAATAAATAGTCCTGATGAGTGATGTCTATTTTTTTGTGGTTCAATTTTCTGGGTTAGAATCACAGCCCAATCCACTTAAAAATTGTCACTGTAGTTGTGCAACACCCAGATATCGAAAATTTATGATTTCGTGACGATTTCATTCATGTTTAGGATTTAGGTTTAGGAGAAGCATTAAAATTATTTTGATGGTAACTAAATAATCAATTCTAATAGTGCTGACTAAATTATTAATCTTTAATTTCTTAACCTTTCCCAAAAAAAACTACACTCCCTGCAATAAATTATTAATGTAACAATATCTTAAAAAACAAATCTAATGATGTAATTAACTTTTACAATAAAATTATTTTATGGGTATAAAAGGGATATTAAGTCATCTATCTGTAATAATAGATATAGTATGTTAGCTGAGCTGGAACAATTTTAGTTTAGTTAGTTTTAGCTGTTTCTTGCAGTATTGCTGTTTTGGGCAATTCAATATATCAAATTCATGTTCTCTATTCTCTGTTATCATCTCTCTGGCTGTTTCTCTACAGAGTATCCCTTCCTTTATAAGAACAGACAACAATACAAGTAATGACGGAATAATTTTTGCAATGGGATGTAATATAAAATGGGTGACATTCTAGAGTTTAATTTTTAAGCACGGACAGTATAATATTTTTATAAAACTATAATACATGTATGATAAAATTGTTAAACTTATGTACAAAATGTTGCTATACATAATGAATCTATTCGACTTGAGAAATGTTAAATAGGAAAAAAAATGGTAGTGTAAAAGTTGGCGAAACTTGACAGATAAGCCTTTTTTATATATTTATTTTACCTTTTATACTCCATGAAGCATCATACAGGTCTAAAAATAAGAATAATGTAATGTGTGAAATAATAATCTCAGATCATGAATAATTATATATATATATATAAATACATTAAACTGAAGAAAAAAAAAAAGAAGAGCCCGTGATGCAAAGAATTTTGATTGTTGGAAGTTGATTGTGTGTTTGAATTTAGATATTGACAGGCATAGGCTATACAGCAGAGCATACTGATGAGCATGAGCGTGAGCACTGACACGGTGACACCTCCACTCCACTACTTCAGTACTTGCCAAATTCACACACTGTAATCTTCTCAGACATGCATCCATCCTACACCAATCATTTCTCACTCTCTTCCACTGCCAACTCACACTAGTACTTACATTTACACCAAATTCAATTTAACCAATAAACAATTATTTATTCACAAATGAATAATTGAATATGTGCCTCATCTGGCAAATCGAACCAATGCTTCCCGTGGGCCCCACCCTCACATTACCAAAATTCCCTTAGGCCAAAACAAAATGGCAGCTGTCAACAACCATCATCCGGTCCAAATCCACGTTGGAAAAAACACTTCATTCGCTCTCTAGCATTTCCATTTCCAAACCCCTTGCGTGTCGATTTCTAATTGGCTAAGACCCGAAGACCTCCGGTATGACCTACCCAGCTTCTCACTCAGACTAACCAGAACTTGCCACGTGGCGTCGCCTTCCTGCACCCGATTGTTGTAGAGCAGGGCCCGCCTCGTCCGCGGCTCCCACAGGTTCCGCTGAATCACACTCAAGTTCGTCGCCGCCACGCGCTCCAGAATCTTCCCCAGCTTCCCCACATCCCTCTCCGCCACCGTCAGCGATATCTCCGCCCACCTCACGGCGGAGGAAAACGGCAACCGTATCCCATCCGCAATAACCACCGGCACACACCCCAACGCAACCGCCTCCACCAACCTCGGACTCCACGGAGCCCACCCTAACGGACACAGACAATACACAGACCGAGCAATCTCCAACTGGTAACCGGCGAACCTACGCCTCTGCAGGTAAAATCTCCGGTCACCGTTGAACTTCCGCCAAATCTCCGTCCTCACTCGCCTTCATAAAAAATAAAAAATAAAAAACACAAAATTTAATTGCATGATGACTCATTAATTAATGATTAGTAGCGTCAATAGACAAAAGTCATTACTTGCTGTAAAACCGTCCACTAATATTTTTTGGATGCACTTCCATTTTTCCTCGGAAGAACGCCCAAATGTCTCTCCGTCCGTTCACCGGAGCTTTCTCCAGCGTGGTCCGTACACTCTCCGGCGAAACGTAAGGCGGAATCACCACATTCTCAACCTCTCGACAAGGATGCCGGTGAACTACGCCGAATGTCTGCAACAAGATCGAGTTTTTCAAAATTCGCGGTATGCCATCAGCCATCGCCGCATCCTCCTTCACAAACCCCAAAAAAGCAATTTAGTCAATGTAAACGGTGCCAAGCCTTTATAAATGCTTAGCACACACTAATGGTAAGCAATGTGGGACTTTGGTTTGAGTTTTGAGAGATTTTTTTACCAGGGTGTGGAAACAGGCGCCGAAGTCGTGGGAAGCGACGAAGACGTGGTCGGATCCTCTGGTGCGGTTCCAGAAAGGGTACTCGGTGGAGACGAGGTTGACGGCGGAGGATATAAGAGAGCGCGCGTGGCCAATTGCCGGAAAGCCATTAACGGCGCTGAAGTTGCATGACACGTAAACGGGGACGAAGAAGAAATCAGCTTGGTAAGGGTCAAACGTGCGAACCTCGCTCGTTAACAATGCTCTGTGAATGGCCACTTCGGACGCGAATAAATGCTTGCTACACCTCTCATTTGCCAGCCAATCGGTGTTGTACTTTGGAGGAAGCTCGTACACGAACACCTTCATATTCTTCACCACCCCTACAACCAAATAAGTATTACAAATTTTAAATTATTCTAAAAATAAAAAAAGTGAAAATGGTGACCAGTTTGTGGGTTACGGGGTTAGTTACTCGTACCTAGAGTGTTGGTGGTGGATTCGACAACGTTGGATTCGGAGTTTGAAGAGGTTGGTGTGTTGTTGGGGTTGCTGTTGATGAGATAGGAAGTGAAGAAATAGAGGGAGAAAGAAAGCCAAAGAAGGCATTTGTAATATGTGTGAAAGAAGTTGGTTTTGTCTTGTTGAGGCTTGTTAACTTGTTTCTGCAGCAGCTTCATTCGAACGTAGAAAACCCTGCTTTTGGGGGATTTCTTTTGCTCTGACATTTCTTTTAAAATTAAAGAAACCAACCTACCCAGAACTAACAACCGATTCTCGTTTGAGAAGAAGTGGAAATGAAGAGAAGGAAGGTAGAGGTTTGTTAGAACTCGGTTTTTTCACCAAAAATAAACAAAACAATTGGACACTTATTTAATTCAAACGAAAGTCGTTGCAGCGTTTGTTAAGGAATTGCCAAATACGATTCTCCTCGTGTAATTATTGAAGGAGGATTTAACTAATATGGAAAAATACTTGGAATTGGAGAGACGGGGTTTCAGAGATCACATGGGTATGTAACATCATGTAGTTCGGCGAGGGCATCGGTTACTAATCACTATGCTGCTTTTGCCTCTCTCAGTATTTGTCGTCTGCAATGATTGCTCCAATGTGTTTTTATTATAATTATATCTGTCGTAAGGGTTTCTAATTTTTAATTAAAATATTTATAATTTTAAAAATAAAATAAATTATATTAAAAGATAAATATTTATTTTATAGTCTCTTGTAAAGATTAATCATTTCTTTAAAAAATTATCTTGCTCATCATATTGATTCTATGATAAGATGAGGGAGTATTTGTCATAGAGGTTGACATGATACAAGTTCTCGAGAGATGATACTACAGTTAATGAGACCAAGTGGAGGGTTGAAATAAATACTTTAGATCGCAATGCAATTAATTGTACAGGCAGAAAAAAGAAGGATAGAAGCTCTTTATATATTTTAATGATAAATAAAAGTTGGATAAGAGGATTAAATAATGGTTATTAGTTCGCATCGCATCTAAGATTAGCTGCAATGAATGGCATGATCTTGGACATGCATAAAGAAACCGTTGGAAAGTTCGAAACGAGATCGGATTTTGGAAGGAATGGAATAATATTGGAATTTGCTTTACAAAATTTTTAAATAAAAAAAAAAAACTTAGAAATGAAAATCACAAACTGAAAGTAAGCAATAAAATTTGAGAAAGAGGTTGAGGGCTTCATTTGCAAAACTCAAAATAAAACAAAAAAAAAATACATGTTTAGGAATAAATATATTCATTCAGTTTCCAGTTTCCTTCTCCTAAACCTTTTTCATTTCTTGTTGATTCTCAAGGTTGTTGAGCAATTGGTGTGCTAAGAAGCTTTGAAGCCCGGAGTCGGATTCCCATTCCATCTTCTTCTTCTTCAACTTTAGAGTAGGTCGGAGTTCATCGTTCACTCCGTTTCGAGGTAAGGGAAGTTAGAACTCGAATTGTTGTATATTTTGGGTTGCATGTAGCTGGATTATCAATTGGACATGCTTTGGGGCTGAGTAGTTGAGTTGGATAGGTTGCAAGTTGTTTGGGATGTGGTGGTCTTGGATGAGTTGAGGAAAAATGAGTGATTCATGGAGATTAAATTATGCATGTTGAAATTTGTATGGTTTTTGGGTTGCTTGAATGAATGTAGTAGTAATCATGGGCAAAGATCATGTTTAAAGGGAAGATTGGTGAAGAGAAGCTGAAGATCAAAGGTGGAAGCCATAGAAATGTAGAAAATTCTGCACCCACCACTTGAGCCATGGCTCATGGCTTCAGCCTTGGGGTAAAAGAGAGGATGGCAAAAATTCACCGTTGTAGCCATGGTTCATGGGCGTTGATGGAATCATGCCTAGGAAGGTAAGGGGTGATACCTTGAAGGATCTAAGAAGAATGGGCTAGACATGAAGGTTTGGGCTAGTCAAGGCCTAATGGGCCCGATGGGCTTGGAAGGCCCAAGTCGAGCTTCACATGGGTCATATCTTGATATATCCATTTTCTTATATTAGTATAGGTTTCATATATTTTGATCTTGTAATTTGGATCACATAGGGTAGCATTTTGGATCATAGGCTTATTGGTCCTAATCTTGGGCTTCATGGGCCTTTGGGCTTTTGATATCCAATATTGGGCTCATTTTCATTCTTGCAATTTTTCCTTTTCATTGTATTTACTTGGCCATTGTATTTAGGCCATTAGAATAGGAATATACCAGGATCACTTAATTGGACGAATTAGGCTAAATTAGGTTTAATTTGAAAGTCATTTAAGTTGCTTTTGAGTCACATGTTTTTCCCCACTAGTGGCTGAACAAGTGCTTACTCAAATCAACCCTAAATTCCATCTAAATTAAATCTAGATGCATGAGAGCTCCTAAACTCACGGCCAAGCACATGTGGGCTGAAATTTGAATTCAAAATTCAAATTTGAATTCAAATCTAGGCACCAAAATGAGTGGCTTGAGTTTGGCGCCAATGATTCCTAATCCATGGCCTATTTAAGTGATTCTTTACACTTGTAAAAACACTTTTGATTATATGAGAATTTCTGAAATTGCTTCAGCCTTATTCTCTCCCAAAAGTTACCAAGAGCCTTAGTCTTAGTTCTAGGAAAATATCTTCCCTCCTAAACTTGACCGTGAGCTCTCCTTTGTTCCTTTAGCTTGGATGCTTCCATCCCTAGTCTAGGAGCAACCTTTCCTTGATTCTTGTTCATCTTCCTCAAGATTTCATCCAGGATTCTAACTCAAGAAGGAGATCCTTAACATTCAGTGGAGGTTAAAGAAGAAAGTTCAATCACTTCTTCAACCTACACCATCAGCCGCAACCATGGAAAAGAGAGGATGGCAGAAATCCATCGCTATAGCCATGGTTCATGGCCGCAGCCATGGAAAAGAAAGAATGCCAGAGATCCACCACTGTAGCCATGGTTCATGACTGCAACCGTGGAAAGGAAACTGAGCTAGCAAAAATCTAGTGCTAAAGTGCTGAATTGAGCGCTATAGCGGTGAGGGTATCTTACCAAATTTGGTCTTGAGGTCTTCATGAAAGTTGTAGCCTTCAATGTTAGCTTTCTAATGGCGCTAGAATCATCCAAAAATGAGGTCTAGAGCATTCTCTCTTAATTGTGTCGTGTCACTGTTAAAAGTAAATGTGTTTACAGTGACACGGCACAATTAAGAGATATAATTGGTTGCTAGTGTAAAAAAACTTTACACTGACAGTGTATAGGTGATTAACTCTATTTGTTAAATGTCACATGTTTTATAGTTTGTTAAATATTTTGCTAGAATCGAAATTCAATAGGAGGAGCTGATTGTTTCAGATAATAAATGCTCAAGTAAATCGTTGTCTCTAAGAGCACCTCTAGCGAGGTGCTTATAGTGTAGCTTAAAAATAAGAACCGGTGCTTACAAGAAACTCCCAATGGAGTGATCCTACGTGTCACAGATAATTACTAAATCTCAACTTATATATAAGTAAAAAATATCTTAATTTTTTTATTGAAATATTTTTTTCAATTAAGTTAATTTTATTTAATATTTTTTATTTAAAAATATCCACAAGCTAATAAATAAGAGTATTATTTAAGATGAACAGAATTAATGATATTTTATTAAATTTAGTGTATATTTTACATGAAATCATAAGAATTAAATGTATTTAACTATCTTTTTTAATTTATGTGAAATTAGTTATTTTTCTTTTATAGAGATCCAAGAGGGATATATAAGAGTATATTATATTTTTCACATAATAAATGTTGTCTTAAGTTATTTTTTTACAAATCAAAGAAAACTAATAAATGAATAAAAGAAAATTTTAATTTTACAAAATTAACTTCATAATTATATTTTTTAAATAAAACAACACAATAACCATTTTTAAAGAATATTATGAGAGGTATAAATAAAAAATAAGTAATTAATATATTAAAAAACTAACATAATACAATGTTATACAAAAAATAAATATAATACTTATTTTAAGATTTATTTTTTTAAAATGCGACTTTAAAAAAAAAAAGCAAAAAGAAGAGGGAGTGCTATATGGCAATAACTATAACATTTCACCCGCCTACTAGTTTTAATTTGGAAATAATTGGACCACGAAACACTTACAATTTTTTTTAAAAAATTATCCATTAATTATATCATTTAATTACAAATCACTATTTATAATAAATTGTTAACTTTTTTTAATAATAATAAAAATTATATCAATAATAACATCTGATTAGTTTACTGTATTGATAATCATAAGTAGAATATTCGTAATTAAATCAACAAACAATTTACTATGTTATTTTGGCAACTGGACTTAGAGCAATAAGATCACTAGCTAAGTAATAAATAGCATTCATTGTATGTTTGTGTCTTGGCCAATGTTCCTCGAAAGGAACAAATATGTTTTTATAAGTTGAAAGTCACACAATAAAAGAAAAGATAAAACCAGAAAATAACTAGCAAAATCTAATATAATGAGTACATAACTTAGTTTTTTTTTTTTTAAGTATGTTGACAATGTTCAGTTTTTTAGTTGTGTGTGTAAAGACTCTGTTTTAGGATAAGAAAAAATATACCACAGGAATCCTTACGTCGTGAAAGGGATTAATCACTTATTATTAGTAAACTAATATTTTTGAAAAAAAAGAAGATAATTACTATTTCTATTTCTTTATAATAATTGTTTTACATAAGTTAAAAAATGTAATAAAATTTTATATTTTTCGTAAAATAACTTTAATATTTTTTATTATACTTTTTTCATTTTTATTTTATAATAAATACATATTAATTATCATGTATAAATTAATTAAAAATAATAAGTAAGCAGAAATAAAATTATAGTAAAAAAGATGGAGTTAAAAAGGAATGATAAAGAAAGAGTGGTTTAAGAGGAGTTTGAGGTGGAAAAGGTAGGAAGATTTGTTTAGGCATTGACCCTACACATGCATGCATATTGCATACCCAAAGCAAAGATAGGCAAAGAAATCATAGGGAGTGGTGCCCCATACTAAAATAATACAATCATCCAAATTATTAGTGGAAAAAGCTGATCCAATCAAAATAAATAGGGTTTGGATACTATACATACCCATAAGGAGGTATCATCCTGCCCATGCAAATTAGGTGCCTCAATATAACGTATGACCATCTCAAGTCTTATTATTTCCGTTTTGGAGGATTTATTCCCTCAATCATCACTCGGACACACTTCTTACAAAAAAAAACATTTCAAACCGAATAGCACAATTCTTCATTTTCTTTTGGTATGTTATAAAACTTAATTTATTTTATAATTTTTTATTTTTTATATTTCAAAAGATGACTGCACCATGCACCATCTGTTTAACCCACGACCTGTAAAAAAATTGGGCTGGACTCAAAATTACTGTTCATCATTGAATTAAGGTTGATGATATATACACTTCCATTTTTTTATACATACACCCCTTTTTTAAAAAAAAATATTAAATTCCTAAATTATCCTTAATATTATTTGGAATAAAAAAAATTATTCCGGAAAGTG